GCCCCGTCGGATGGTGTTTGCAGGGGAGCTCAGAATTCTGGGTGTCCTGCGAGCGGGTCCGGTATCGCGAATGAAGGGAGCAAACGAATGAGAATCTACACCGGGGAAAGATAAACGGAAACGTGAGGTTCAATTCAATGTACTTGTACTAATGGTGGCAATACAAAATCTGTTTGCAATCGGGGGCGTTGTGAAGTTTTCGTCTAGCCAGCAGCAGCGACCTGTTCCCAAAAAGGCTTTGGAGGTACTTCCTCTCCCAAGCTAAGCGCTACAGCAGTTCTTTTCAGGCGGTAGCGCCATGCGGCTTGCCGCACCACGAAAGATGAAATGTACACAAAATTATAGTGCGTATGTACAAAATTATGCCACCAAATCCACAACTAGTACTACTGCTATCTTACCATGAAATGTATGCTAGAAAGAACATTACAGTAGAGTACACCGAACATATACTCTACGAGCTCGTAACATCGTTATCACATAATAACCCGCACGCCATTATAGTCTCCCAAAGGCCATCGATGCTCCCTTCCAAGCGAGAGAACGCACATCCGGCTTCGAGGGATACCGAGCGTGCGTGAGGTAGCTTCGACGAGCTGCAAAGACACACTCGATTAGCTGAAGGGGCGCATCACAAAGCGAAGAAACGTACTTTGGGACCAAATTCACCCTGCACAAACGCAAGACTAGGAAATAAGAAGCAAGTAAGATACCGAATTGAGATAGAGGAAGATGAGGGACCGTACTCGACAGTGATCGTAGGAAACGCCTCATCCAGCAGCCGGGTATTCGGATGCAGCTCGCTGGGGATATTCTCGATACTGGGGTATGCGTGTACGAATATGACGGTGCTCGCGTCGGGCGCATTGCGCTGCACGGACAGGAGCGCCTGGAGCATCGTGTGGATCTACGGACCCCCGATCAGCAATGCAAAAAAAATTGCAGGACGCGTAGAGGGACATACATCGTCAGTCTTGGTCCAGATACAGACCTGGGCACTGCGGCTGCGTTTGTATGTGCGGACTAGCAGCGCCCCGAAGCGTGTAAGTCGAGTGCGTGCAAAGGAGCTAGCGCTGTGTAGACGGAGGGCGACGCGGAGCATCCAGGGCTGGGCGTTTAGAATTATGAGGCATGTAAGGATGGCGATGAAGGCAACTGCAAAAACTGCGAGGGAAGTTGGGCTGGAGATTCGAGCAGGGTCAGAATTGCGTTGGCGAATAGGGAAGATGGGGTAGGACGTACTTGAGAGCGACGTTGCCCGCCCAGGTGGTGCAGACGACAACAAGTGCTCCAAAAAGCGTGAGCATACCCACGCGAGGCTCACGAGGCAGGCGAGATCGGTTGACTTTCAACAGGAGATTAGAGAAACAGTACTGACACGATGTTAGTTTGTCATATACTACCGAGAAGGTGTAATCAAGGCATACCAGGAACATGACGAACAAAAATGCAACGGAGAACGCGGATGAGACGGTGTTGAGGCTCATGCCCGACGCGACAAAGAGCAAAAGCGATATCGCGAGCGACGTGAGTGTCGCTACGTACGCGCTCTTCGTGACAGGTAGCTTCGCCAAGAAAACTTGCGGGAGCACGTTGTCCCTGAACACCATATCCATCAACTGCGTTCGTACAGCAGAACCAAACGCACACAATCTACTTACTGTGCAAGTCGGTCAATGAGTCCCCCAGCAGAGACGACACCCGTGAGCACTCCTCCCAAGAGCACCCCGACGGCATCGACTACGACCCAAACTCGCAGCCATCGCCCTGCGGCATATTCTGCGAGCACGGAGAGCACATTTGCTCCACTGAGGATGGTCTGAGAAGGAATGAGGGCGTATACGAGAAGACAGAGTGTGCCGTTGAGAACTGCGGCGATGATGATCAAGTTTCGTAAGACTGCAGAATATGTAGCCGGGCGCATATTCTGAATGTAGGAAGGCGTGCACTCGAAACCTGCCGAGCACATGAATGTATGACGGAATTGCGAAAAAGAAAGTGCTCACCAGTGACGCCGAGGAATGCGATGCAGATTCCGTAGAAGAGTGTGCGGACAATGTCGAGTGCGCCGGTGGGTCGAAGATCCCAGTTAGCGCGCAGGATATGAGAATGGGGATCACTATGCGCCCAGTGCACAATTGCAGCAATAATGAGCATCGTCATCGAGATGATCTGGGGGAGAGAACACACATGAGCGTGGGGACCGGGTTAATAAACATGGGTACCCACATGGAAAACAAAAACTGATGCACTGAGCGACGCGCTTTCCCGGATGCCCGCGAGTGCAAGCAAGCCGAAAGCGGAGAGGAAGATAATAGTGAAGACCCCAGAGGAGACAGGAAGGTGGCCAAATTCGCCAGTGAGATATGTACTAGCTGTTGCAGCCGAGACAGTCGAGGTGGCAACGGCATCTAGCAAGGTTGCAGCGGCACCAATAACGGATGCTAGCTTCCCAGAGAACTGTAAGAGGTAGATATAATTACTACACCAAAATTAGTGGCAGGCCAGGGCTAAAGATGGACACGACGCACGCTCCGTTCAGGCGGACCGCCGCTGCTAATTCCAGCATGACAGGACGGAAAAACAAGAGCAAGAGGCACGCGACTACCAGACAAAGCGGCGAAAATACTCCTGCAGGAAAGGTTTGAGATATCGACGGCTTGAGAGCAACTAGAGGCGTACCTGCGGTAGCTGCAATCACGGGAAAGGTGTAGAAGACGCTGCCTACTACGCCGTTACCCGCAACCGAAGATGCTTTGATTTGTCCGAGGTAAGCGATAGGTTCTTTCGCGCTCTCTTCTACTGCATCCAAGTCTTCCTTCTTGATTTCGACATAGCGTAACGACCCCCATCCCTGTGACGCGTCGTCAGCCTGGAACGTAAACTCATTGCTACGAACGCACAACAAAGTCCCATGCATGATGCAACTGAGGTGACCGCGAGGGTGTATGCCCGATCTTCAGGCCATCCGGGTCATTACCGTACCGTTGGCGGCGAACAATCTAATACAAAAAAGCTTCAGGTATGCGGAGGGTCAGCGAGGCAAAACTGACCGTCTGGAATTCGCTCTGCGCAAAAGACGGAGGCGTAATTGATTGAATATCTGCGTTGTCTGAACAATAATTAAACTGTATAATCATAAGGACACTTGTGTTCTCACTTACCTGACGGTTCAGGAGCGTAGGCATAATCCACCGCCTCTGCTATCGGACGCAATGGACGAGGACCACTCGACACGCCGCTCATTCTCTTCTCAGCATCATTCATCCTGCCAGCCAACGTCTCCGCGGCTTTGTCTCCCATCTCTAAGTCGCGGTTCATAACGAATTGAGGTCGTTTTTCGTTCGGCACTGGCGATGGGGAGAGGGTAAGAGTTCGGAGGAACAACGGAAATAGAATGGATGCTCACTTTCATTTATATGGCACAAAGCACATCGGCGTGCGGTGCGCCGTGGATGCTTTGTGCGAAGAAAGCAGACGGACAAGTCGCGGATGAAAGGGGTCGAATGATCACGTGGGCGTGGATATATTGGTTACGCTCTGACTTGGTCGCGGTCTCCCAGTCGCGGGTCTCCAAGAGAACCGACTTGAACCGGGCCTCTGGCAGTTGGTATGGCAGCCAGGCCGAAACCATATTGTTGACCCCAATTTACGTACGAGGAAGTCCAGGCCGCAGCATTTCGTCGTTGTCCTCGGTGCTTTTCCGTGACACAACCCACCTTTTCCAAGGACAATCCGCTGTGTTCTCCGTCAAGGCGCAGGGGGGGCGTTCTCGTATAGGAGTGCGTCAGGGGGCGCGGGGGCAGGGGAACGTGTACGTGTACCTTTCACCATCTACATTATATAAGATTATAATTGCTGGTTATAAGCATCTCAAGACAGTGACGGAACTGATCTCGGATTGTACCACCATGATGGCAGGCAAGCCCAACTTTTGTTGTGGTTTACCTGCCTTGGAATGATGGTTATGAGAATTCGATTCGTCTCTCGTTCTGTCTCAGCCTTCAGGGAGCCTCAAATTCTCCAAATCGCTCACGTCAGGTATATTGCTAATCGACTAGGTGCAGGGAAACACCGACCTGCTCTTCTTTTCAAAACGAAGGCTCGATTGCCCTCGCCTGCACAGAATATCGGGTCACTTCCGACCGAGTGCGACATCGCGGATGAAGGGGAAAAGCAACTTGAAGTTGCTGTCTGGGGTAAGATCAAACTCACGCAGTGCCAGCGGTGCAAATCGACATTTGCTCCAAGCTGTCAACCAAATCGTGGTCACTGGCTTCTATAACTGCTGTCAAAGCTCACTGGAGGATGCTGTAGCTCGCCTCGTCCACTTATTCGCCCATGCAAGTCGATGTTCTCTAGATCTCATAGTCACCGCATCATCTCAGGTCTTCAATGGTTTCTCTGCCCTGGTGGCGCACACGTTGGCTTCCAGCACTTGGAGGCGTCCACGTCCGGTACCGATACTACCGTACATCAGTCCTGGAGGTAGTAACAACCCTACCCGATAAAGGGACTGGTAACGCCACGGATGGAAGTACAAAGTCTGTTCTCGACCCTTATGCATACCATTGCCATTCCTCGTGTTCTTCAGGTATGGCTAGACCTGCTGCAGTCATTCTATAGGGACTATGGAAGTGACAGTCAGCGTTCTTGACCGACTCCCCCTTCGCCGCTGTAGTCTATCTTCTCTTCGGGTGCACTCTATGACTAGCTCAGGACGACCTTTCGTGCGAAGCCGAAAAGCCCAACACGGTTTGCCCCCGCACTGCAGTTGACCGTGCAGGAGGGACGCGATCCCCGAGCGCAGTCTGTCGATGACAAGCCTACAAGGATCTCTGATGATCTACTTACCTTGCTTTCTATCACTCAATCAGTGACGAATCAAATATTAATAGGTAGTCCATTCCATTGAAAATAAAACAGTCATGAACATGCCGTCGCACGTCACCCGTGTCAGACCACTGCAACAAGGAACCGTTAAGTGAACAATATAACATGGCCGACTGGCGCAAAGGTAGCGCGTTAGTTTCCGGCAAGTCCTGATAGCTAGAGGTTCTGGGTTCGATCCCCAGGTTGGTCGATCTTTTCTTGTTTTCACGATTGATTGAACATTGAGAACAACGGGTTGAACTTTTTGAAGATCAGGAGGGCCGAGAGATGAAAAAATATTTCGCTGAACGCGCGAGACGCGTCTTCCGTAAATCGTTTCATCGACTGACCGCGAACCTCCATCTTGTAGTTCGTGTCGTTTGCTTTTATCAGAGCCACCTCGACATCCTGCTCGAGGTCAAATTCGAGCGTGGATGTCGCTGGGTAGTATCCGAACTTTACCGAATCAAGTCGACTGAGTGCATCAAAGGAGCTTGGAGCTAAGCCATCCCGAACAATGCTGCTTCTCCTAACATCTATTCCCAACGCAGTGGGGAGACTGTTCTTACATTCTTCGATTCTATATCTTCTCCTAGATCACTGCCGGCAGTACGCCTGCCAGACCTTCCTCGCGATGACATTTCTCGGAGCCCTCCTCCCCGTCCATAGTTCAAATTGCCTGTACCCCTGTTCCAGCAGCACCTCCACCCCCATGACCCGCTTCCATTTTTCGGACACACCATTCGCCTGCTTTGCAACAGCAAGCACAGGCGTCTCCGCCGGGCGATATGCCATATCAACCACGACGCCGCCCTCTGGGCGGAACAGCGCACGGGGAACATACAGCCCATTGCCCTCCTTGTCCGCCGCCGTCGCGCTGGCCGGCACCGTGGACACGATGACACCAGGCCGGGCATCCCCAGGGAACTTGTCGAGTGCGTCCACGATAGACACATTCGCGCCAGGAATGGCATGCACCAGCGCTTCCGCACTTGCGCGCGTGCGGTTGTACAGATAGATGACAGTCGCGCCAAGGTGGTGCAGCGCGAAGATCGCCGCGCGTGCGGTGCCGCCTGCACCGATGACAAGCGCGGCGTCGATTTTGGCACGAGGATGCGGGAGGCGCGCACGGATGCACGCAACGATGCCCTGCCAGTCGGTATTGTCGCCGTACAGAAGCAACGACCCGTCTTCCTGAGTGCGCGGCACGATCGTGTTGACGGCGCCGATAACCTCTGCCTCGGGTGACAGGCGGTCGACGTACTGCATGATGTCACGCTTGAACGGAATCGTCACCGACGCGCCGCCAAAGTCGGGGCTCGTCATCGCCAATTTGACCTGCCCGTCCTCGGTGACGTCGTCAGTCTGCAGGAGCTCGTACTTGTAGGGGAGTCCGAGCGTCGAGAAGCCGGTGTTGTGAAGCGTGGGGGACTGCGAATATTGGATCGGGTTACCGAAGAGATAGAACTTGCGCGGGGGGAGCGAGCCGATGAGGGTGAGTGCCTCGTGGATTTGGACGACGGAAAGTTGACCTGGGGCAGCGGCCTTCAGCAGTGGGTGCGTAACAGGGGAGAACGTCTCATTCAGGATACGAGAAAGTTGTCCTGCAGTACCCATGTTGATCGCAATCAGCGGCTTCGCGTTCTCAGATGAACGGACGCGTTGAGAAAACGCGTACAGATCAAGATTGTCTTGCAGAGAGTTCGCCTTCCCAACTAGCTTGACGATATCACTGAATGCTGCGGCAATGTCGTACTTGTCTTGAATGGGCGACGTGTTCCAGTTGAGCTTCCCGCTCCAATCATGGTAGGACGTGATAATCTGCGAATAGCCCTTGCGTTTGACGAGTTCGCGGATCTGCTTCTCTGGCCACGTAATCTCGACATCGATGTACTCGACACCAAGGCGGACGGCCAAGTCGAACAGTTCGAACGCCTCTTTGACCGCCTTGTCCGGGAATGCGCCTCCCTGGGACACTGTGCGCACGGTGAACACGATGGGCACTGATGTCCTACGGCGCAAAGCGGCGACCTGATCCGCAACGTACGCACGAGAAACGGCCACAGGCCCAGCGATATCGTATCCACCAGGCGACTTGAGCAGGTCCACACGGAGTTCCAAAGCGTCAACACCCAGAACGAGCTCGTCGATGTGAGGGAGGGCCTGGGTCACGTCAGGGTAGGTCAAGGAGAGGAAATACGAACGCTGTCCCGTCGCGACGTTAGAAGACAAGTTCGGCCGTTGTCCAGTGATGTGCTCGAAGAACCGCGTAACTTCAGTAAGAACGCTGCGAGCAGGCGTCGTCGCGAACGGCACCTCATGCTCGAGACCCTTCGACGGCGCAGAAACATCTGGGGGCGTCGTGGCGTGAGCCACCGTCGTGTGGTTGATGAATTCATGCGTGCAGCACTCCTCGAACCACGGCTGTCTGCGCCTAAACACGTCCGAGACGGATTCGCCGTACGCAGGTCGATCGGTCTCCGCGCCCAGGTACTGCACGACCTCGTCGATGTTGCGCACGATGTACACAACGGTACCGTTCTGCGTCGCAGCATAATTCTTGAGCAGATCGCGCGCAGCAGCCGTCTCGACGATTCCGCCGCCAAGGCTCAAGATGTGCTTGGTGGAGTAGTTTTCCAGTAGCTCTTTCAGAATATCGGTCTCGGCAGCGCGGAAGGCCGGCCACCCATGCTCGTGGACGAACTCGCGCACACCCTGCGTGTGCTTCTTGACGAAGTATTCATCGGCGTCGACAAAGGGCCAGTCGAGCACGGTAGCCGCAAGGCCGCCAATGTGCGTTTTGCCGGAGCCTCGCATGCCGATAATAACGACCGACGCGGGGTCCTTTTGCTCTGTAGGTTTGCTGGCGGATGCGTGCGAGGCGTCTGTAAGCTCTACACCTTCGACTTTGAGGCCGATCTGCAGCATAGATGAGCAAATGCCTGTTATGAGGTGCACTGTATTCATACCTTGTTCTCGAGGTCGTCCCACCAGTTGGGCCATGTCTTCTCGACGCAGCGCTTCTCCTCAATGACGGTGTCTTTGACCGCGGCACTGAGAACACTGAAAGCCATCGCGACACGGTGGTCATCATAGCAGTGGACGCGAACGCCCTGCCGGAGCTCAGGAATGGGCTTGCCGTAGACCTCAAGCCCATCCTCAAGCTCTTTCGTCTCAACGCCGAATTTCGCTAGAATCAACACTTTAGCGATTTCCACATCGATGGATAAAGAAAAGCTACTCACCCAACTGATCAATCATAGCCTGAATGCGATTGCACTCCTTGACCCTTTGGTTCGCAATCCCCACGATACGCGTCGTCGTCGGCCTGCTGCCATCCTTCAGCACCCTAGAAGGCAAAGGCTGTCCGACAGCAACCGCCGCCAAGACAGACGCAGTCAAAAAGGCATCCGTCATCGGCTCCATGTCGATCAACCCGATCGCCTTGAGCTGTCCAATCGGGGGCCCCTTGACAGTCGTCGACGTTGCGGTCTGCGTCACAACACACCCCATCGGCTCAAGCACATCCTTCGCGAAGCGCGCGTCTCCCTGCAGCGACGCAGAACCGATGTTTGAGATCGTGCACGACGAGCCGGTGATCGCAGCGATGGCGAGCGGGTACGTCGCGCTGCTCGCGTCCGACTCGATGTTGTACTCCGGCGGGTTGACATACGTCGCCTTCGGGATCTTGTACACGTCGAGCGGCTTCTGCGTCGCGGAGTCCACTTCGCGCGTCACTTCCACGCCGAACTCCTTCATCATCGCGATCGTCATGTCGATGTACGGTTGCGAGATGACCTGCCCGCCCGTCAGCTCGAGCGTGATGGCCTCCTCTGCGTACGGCGCGCACAGCAGCACGGAAGACACGTATTGACTCGATACGCTCGCCGCGAGCTTGATATGTGAGCCCTTGAGCCCGGCAGGGGAGATCGCAAGCGGCAGGCTGCCTTCCGACTCTAGATACTCGATCTTGCTCCCGTTTGCACGGAGCGCGTCCACCAGCGGCCCAATGGGGCGCTGTTTCATCCGTGCATTGCCAGTGATGATCGTCGCCTTCGCCGCCTCGGAACGTTGTGCCAACGCACATACTGTCGTCAGGAATCGTGCTGCGGTTCCCGCATTGCCGAGGTAGATCTCCTTGCCCTGCGGCGGCACTGAGAGTGAGCCTTCGCCTCCTTTAACCACCAACGTCTCCCCACCGTCTTCCCAGCTGAACTCGGCACCCTGAACGAAATATGCTGTTTGAGACCAACATCAAGGGCGTGACGGGATATCATACCTTCAGCTCCTGCAGTGCCGCCATCATCACCTGCGTGTCGTCCGAGTGAAGCAGGTTCTTCAATCTACATGTGCCCTTTCCGAGCGCAGCCAATACGAGCGCGCGGTTCGAGATGCTCTTCGAGCCCGGCGTCGCCATCGTAATCGGATCCTGCGTCGGCACGCCCGGAACGACCTTCGCAGCCTCCGCCAGCGTCTTCTCGATGACGGCATCGGGGACGACGCTCGCCTTTTGCTCATACGTCTTCCCGATCGCCGACAGGATGACGATCTTCTTCTCCGGCCCGCTGTTCTTCTTGTCGATGCGCATGATGTCCAGCAGGCGGTCCACCGTGAGCAACTTCGAGCCCGGCAGGCTCGCAATCCGCGGGTCCGACAGCGACACGGGCAGGTTGTAGCCCTTCAGGCAGCGCGTCAGGCGGCCCACGGCGACCTGGCCGAGCTTGCCCAGTTGTCGCGCGACTTCCGCCTCGAGTATCATCCCGACACTCACGCACTCGCCGTGCAGCATGTCGGGTGTGAGTACCGCTTCGATTGCGTGCCCAATGGTGTGGCCGAAGTTGACAAGGTTCCGCAGCCCTGTGAGCTCACGCTCATCGTTCGTCACGATGTGCGCCTTGACAGAAATGGATCCGACGATCACGGACAGCAGTAGCTCTTGCGCCGCAGAGCGGTCGGCCTTGGTGCGGCCAGAATGATTGAGAGACGGTGTTTGTATGGCCGTGAAGATCTCTGCGGAGCGAGCTTCGAGGTCGGCGAAGTCCGTCTCGTTCCAGATGGCGGCGGTCTAGCAGCGACGAGTTGGGATGCGGATGGACGATACGCGGATGCGCAGGACAGCTCACCTTTACGACTTCAGCCATGCCGTTCGAGAATTCACGCGCCGGGAGCGTCTCGAGGAATGCGGCATCAATGAAAATGTATTCGGGTTGC